TTTTCAGGACCCCACCTTGATGTTTCAGGACCCCACTTTGGGTCCCGACCCCAACTTTGGGAACCATCACCTTRCAGTATGCTGTTTCTGCTTCGTTGTGCTGGTTTCAGATTTATTGATTTTTTAGTTAATTTGGCTGTTTTAACTATTTTGCCAGTTTCAATTTCTGTTCTTGTTTCAGTTATTTTTTCTCTTKTTTCACTGTCTGCTAATTTCAACTTCTTTCTGCTACTTTYAGCTTCTTATTTCTAATTTTTGACACTTTTACTTGAACAACTTTCAACAAAAAAGCATGTTTGCTGTGTTTTTGGAGGAGATGCTTGATCTCTGCTTTATAAAAGACTTTAGATATTTAAAGTGAGCAGCTCACCCAGCTCAGTCCTGGCCTCCTGTCGTTGTCGGTCCTTCTTCATCCGCCTCTCTCTGGCTCTGTCAGCCTCGGTCTTCATCCTCCTCTCCAGCACCTCCAGCTCTTTCCTTTCTATCTCATAATGCCACCGGTCGGTGCAGCCACCCATCACTTCTTCAATCTTCCCGATCAGTTCTCTGACCTGAAAGCCRTCCCCTCTGGTCTTGTTGTTCAGGACGTGGTACCTGTTGCAGCATTTCTCCACGAGCCACAGCAGAGCCTCTCCCTCCGTCTCCAGGTACTGCTCCGTCCTCGTGGCCCCCAGCCAGTCCCCGAAACTGAACAGCAGGATGACGCGGCTCCAGATGTGCTCGCTGAGGAGCTCCAGATGTTCCTGCGCTGCTCTCCTGTGGGTCTCGGTGAAGGCCCGGTCCGTGCGGATCACCAGCAGGAAGACATGAGGCCCCGGAGGACAGAGAGACAGACTGAGAGCCATCTCCCTGCGGTCGAAGACGGACGTCTCGTGGCAGAAGTAGTTCCTCCACCAGCCCGGCGTGTCCACCACCGTCAGCTGCCTCCCAAACACCACTGCTCCTCCAACACGGCACTGAGCTGTGCTCCTGGGCTGCTGGACACCGTCTCTGTCCAGGAGGGTGTTCAGGACGGAGGACTTCCCTGAGCCCTTGGCTCCCAGCAGCACCAGGCGGATTTCAGTGACCGGCCTCAACCTCTCTGGAAGAACAAAATAAACCAGATGAGGTAAGATGCTGGAGTGGCTGGTTTTGTAGACTTGAAACCAGAAGAGTAATGAAAGCATCATGAACGAGAAATATTTCATTTCTTGCAAAAACAGTGAAAGCTGCACTGCAAAACTGTCCACCTAACCAAGTTTTAAAACCTTATATCAGCCAAAAAGTCTTTTTGATCTTGTTTTGAGACTGATTTACTAAACAAGAACTGATTAATAATAATCGAGTTTTCACAAAGTGTAAGATTATGTAAAGTAAAAATACTTGATT